TGCATGTTCCCCTGGGGCGGGGTTTATCTGGGTTCATGAAGTAACGAAGCTGGGAAGGAACTCTTTGTAGTCCCTACGAGCCAAAATCATTCCAATATCCTGATTTGGTGCTCAAGAAACATTTTTCTTCTTATTATCAATGTTGAAAACAGTTGTACTTGAAATGTTGAAATGTTGAATTGATTATTATAAGGCAGCAGCTATCTGCGCTAAGTTAAAATAGCATGTTTTCTTAGGGTTCTATTTACACTGTGCAAATAGCGATAGATTCTGTTTACACTATGTACAAATAGAAGTGTTGTCTTTGCAATAATATTAGTTAGATGCTATTTATACTACTCGGTGCAAGTGGCAGATATGTGCACCTCGATATTGTAGTACATTATAAAACAGTATGCAATAATAGCAATTATAATTTTTATTAAAATTATTGAATGGATGCCACCTTATTGGGACAATTAAGCCCTCCCTACACCTACCTCTAATCCTAACCGATTAACACCCATGATGCACTTTATTTTCCACTTTTCGGTTATTTCCTTCGTTTTATTGAAAATAAATACCTTTCTGATGTGATAAGTGATGTGAAAAGGGAGAAGAATGAGTTCGGCGAAAGGAGGATTCGAACTCGGGTCGAAAAAGTCAGTTAGTTAGTTTTAGTTAGAGTTAGTTTAAAGAGCCTCTGCCAACAAGGCGGGCTATTTGCACTTTGTTTAAATATACACTTAATTATTATGTAATTATTAAATGTTGTTATGTAATTATTATTATAAATGTTGAAAATTTCTGTTTTGTGGAAACCCATTTTTCAGGATACTTTGATGAATAGAAAGTCCAAAAGAACAGGATTTATTTGAAACCAGAAATCTTTTGTAACATTATAAATGTTTTACTGTAATTTAATTTAATAAATGAATGTGACCAATTTAAAGCATGCTTGCTAAATAAAGGTAATAATTTCTTAAAAACAAACAAGTAAAAAAACCTACTGGCCTCAAACTTTTAAATGTTTTTTATATGGATGGATGGACAGACAAAAGTACTTCAATAAGTTTTCAGTTAACCTGATAAAAAACCTGATAAACCAATAAACCTGAATTCGATAATTAAAAGGTATATCCCAATACTTTTGTCCATTATAATATGGATGGATGGATTAATAGAAAATAGGCAAAACAGTTAATGCAGTGGTCATCTTAGTACTGTATGTCCCCAGGCAGATGTTTGTAAGTTTTTTTGTTTGTTTGTTTGTTTTTGGTTAAAAAAAAAAAAAAAAGCTCCTGTGTGCTTGAATGGGCAAAGACCTAAATCTCCAAAACGTCAAGATTATGTTTTAATAGTACATTTCAAAACAGCAATACAATCTGAGAACAGTGGCGTAAAATTGATCTTTTTTAGTTCTGTACTAAAATAAAGTATTTTTCATGTTGTGCATGTTCGTTCTACCAAAAAGTCTCTATAAGTAGCATTACAATGCTGAAATTTTCCTACAAGTGGTTCGTTTCTTTCTCTTTGTGTTGTCTTTGCTCTAAGAAGAACAAAATACATTGAATGAATTCATTCAGTGGAAAAGTCGATGATTTGAAAAATTGAACATGAGCTCCACAATGGTGGAAGTGAAGGAAAAAGTTAGCGAGACAATGAGCGATGGAAGCCGAGAGAAGTTCTTTTAAAAGGCGACGGAGGAGAGAGCAGAGATGAAAGGGAGAAAGAGCTAATGTGTACATGCACAATTAATGAGGATGAATTTGAGAACAGAGGAGACAGTGTGAGAGGAGCAAAAATGGAAAAAGTGACGAGTGAAAGAGAGAGCGAGCCAAAGCAAGAAACCTCATGATGGTTAAATATAGAGAGGCAGCTCTCGGTAATGAACAGAGAGATAGAGAGGTTTATGTGAAGTGTTTTGGTCGTTTTGTTGATTGATTGATTGATTTGTGTGTGTGTGTGTGTATGTGTGTGTAACACACACACACAGACGTCCTCGACCTATTTGTCAACCTCCTCCAGACTAAGGACACGGAGATCGTGGAAATCAGGCAGAGGGAGGCCGAGTGTGAGCTGGAGGCGTCCAGAGACCGAGTGCAGCAGCAGGCCACAGAGATCCTGCTCAAAGCCAGTGAGATACGCACATGCTCTCCCATCACCTCTGTTCACAGTCAACTGTTCAATCCCACTCCGCTCACTTTCATTGATTCATCCTTCTACACTGCTTTAGGCTACTAATCCATTACCTGCATGCACAGCAGGATTGTGCGAGATTCAGAATTAAATGCAGAGTGCCTTCAGGTTCCGACTGATCTTCTCCCTTTGAATTGAATTTAAACAGGATACAGAACTGTAATTTAAATAAAAATGTAAAATTATTTTTAAATAATTTGAAGTAAAATTAAATGAATTTCATAGAGGTTAACAGTTTGTATAGTTTCTAAGAATACACGCATCTTTATTAGTCATGTTTTTTAAAAATTATTATTATTGTCATTTTTTATATTAAAATGATTAATATTACAAATAAATGTTTGAAGTTTATGCACTAAAATAATTTTAACTATTTTTGAGGTTAACATTAACATCATCATTATCATCCTCATCATCATCAATATTGCAAATTAATTTTTGAAATGCTGTTTTTTGAGGTTAAAATCTGTTGTAGCTTTAGAGATAAGACCTGATTCCGTTTTTATTTTTATTAATTAGGTTTTAGATCCTTATTTTCTTGATACATTTTTCTTTGGCATATTCAAATCTAAACAACTGACTATTGGCTAGTGATATTTAAAGGGAAAAAAAGCTAAACTAATTATTGGCATATAATTGGGTAAAATTAAATGAAATTCACATACTTTAACTGTTGTTTGTATAGTTTTTAATAATACATGCATTTTTATTAAGCATGTATTTTTTAATTATTGTTGCTGTTGCTGCTGTTATATTTTTATCTTAATATGAATTATTAATATTAATATTACAAATCATTTTTTTAAGTCCATGGGTTAAAATAATGACTAATTATTATAATAAACTACTTTTTGAGGTTAAATTCTATTGTCACTCACCTCGTAGATTAAAACCTGATTCAGCTAAAAAGA